GGGCTTAATAACCCTTATTGAAGAAGGCTTAAACCCAAAACCCTACACCCTAACCTAAATCCTTTAAACCCTTAACCTAAACCCTAAAACCTAATTAATCCGAGCATTACCGGCAGCTTCCTCTTGGAGAGCTGACATTTCGGAGCTGTAGGGTCAGGAACTTCATGTTCCAGGGTTCTGGGGAGTATATATATATATATATAATATATAATATATATAATATATACACATTTATTTATTTATTTATTTATATTTATATTTATACACTCCATCCATACATATACAGATATATGCATGCTCATACCATAATATGATATAGTGATATATTTATCATATTCGCACACTGAGACTATAATATTATATAATGCTACATAGTGACATAGTAATGCATCGTAATATACAGTTTAATATACTTCCCTATACCAATTGCAGCCCCAAGTCCCTCGCGGGTCCACTCTTTGCTGACCGCGATGAGAGTTGGATAAAGGTCGTCCTGCATGAGTGCGTAAACCGACCGAGCGCTGAATGTCAGTATGTGATTCTGCAGTGGTGTAACTGAGATGACTGAAATGATAAAGACAACCTAGCTGCAGGATTCCTATCTTGCGACTTTACAAGTCTGAGAAACCAGGTCAAGATCAACTGATCAGCCTTGGCAGGTGTTAGCAACAACGATAGCGACAACAGGGTGCGGCAACAGCTTCAAGAACGACCCTGGAGTCTCGATGAGCATACGAGTAAGGGTCCGTGTCGTGGCGTATGATCCGCATCTTCTTCCCGGCCAGCCAGAGGCCGCCCTCGGGAGCCTGGCCCGTCCTGGCGACGTGGAGGACTCTGAACCCTGGCACTTGGCACGGCCATGCAGGGCCAGATTGAGGATTTCCGACGTGATCTGGGGCGGCGCTGGTTTTGGATTCATGGCTTTGGGTGAGATGTATACTGACAGGCAAGGATGATGGTTTCGGTGCCAGCTACTAGTTACAAGTCACGAAGTAGCATGTGAATTACTGGGTCGCAGACTGGAGGGTAGAGCAAACCTTGCGTAAAATGGCCTAGTCCAGAACTTCCCAGATGTCAGGACCGAGACTCTAGTATGAATACCGTAGACTCAATAGAATCGGAGAATAGCCTTTGGGCCTTAGCCAGCCAAGTCTGGGATGCCGAAATATTCGTTGAGAGGGTTCCTGCCATGTCGGGGGTCCACAGGATAAGCATACATCTTTAGGTCTGCTCGGAGGTGCTGCCGAGAATCTGAACGGCTTGGAGAAGGCAGCTGCCCTCCCGGACCAACCTCTGCAAAACCAGACCTACGAGGTGTTGCTTTATAACTGCCCAGCTGGTTTGCATATACCTTCCGACTAGACTGTAGAAGTTTGCCGGCGAGTTTAGCCTTCAGCTTCTATGACTGTAGGGATACTCCTACGGCTGCTACGATTACCGCAACGACGACGACTGCTGCCGCTGCTGCTGCGTATGCTGGGACTGGAGACCTGAACATCCAAAGCCCTATGCAACAGATAAGCCAACAGGTGCAGCAGCAGCAGCAGCAGCAACA